TGCCTCAGAGAGAGGTGGGGTCACAGCAAAGGCTGCCTTTATATTTCTCTACGATTGGGAAAATGACAGCAGGTTTGTTTCCTGGCGGAAATGTTCCATCAGATGGAGGGAGGGAAAGCGGGAGGAGAGGGGGGCACAGAGGGATGGAGGGCGACTCCCCAGTGGGGCGCGGACCCCGAAAAGGCCAGCGGGCAAGGCAGCACACCACCGTGGCCTTTGACGGTTAACGCACGGAGACTCTGCTTCCGCTGCGTCAGGAGGGGCTGGGAACGGGAGTGGAGCTGCGACGGCCGTCATCGCGGTGGGTACATCCGGAAACGCGTTCTTGACAGTTACCACTGCCCCGTCCACTGTCTCCAATACCAGCAGCACAGGTATCCTTCTCGGATGGAAATGTGTGTCTCTCTCTCGTGTAACGTCTTTCAACAGCTCCGGGCTGGCTGCAGGACCAAACCGAGACTCCCACCCTGCGCGCCCGGGCTCTCGGCATCTCCGAGTTCCAGGTTTTCCCCCAGGCTGGTAAGCAATTTCCATCTACCTGAAGTTCCCTAAGCGCGTCTCTGTTTCACGCCTCCAGAGCTGAAAAGGCACGAAGATACTTGAAAAGTCTTTCAACTTTGTCCACTTTTGCACAACAAATTCTAATAGCTGGAAAAGCGTAACTGAAAATGTTTATTTTTGACCATGACCTTTCCAACCCACTAGCTATTCTGACCAACCGTGGGCTCACGCAGCGGGGGCGCTTCAGCGTGGGGTCCCCTGACCCACCCCCTCCCCTGCGCCGCTGTCCTCCTGTTTCCGGGCGGCTCACCTCACGGCATCTTACCCCTAGACTGTTGGTCTCCTCTCCACTCAGCATCTTCAGGGAATAAATCGTGCCTTTCTGCAGTCTTGGCAAAGTGACAGGAGCAGGCGATCCTTCCTTTTCTTTCTGGACGCGGCTAGGATGCCGGGATGCGCGGACAAAAGGAGGAGCTGGGGTGAGAGAGGGTTAAGGTGTGCTCCAGCGCCACTTAGAGCTGAACGGCAGAAAAGCACGGCGTTAATGGAAACACCTGCAGACGCAGTTCGCGGGGGAGCGGTTCTCTGTGGGTCCCACGCAGAGGTCTGATCTTCAGGAAGAGCGTGTAGTTTGGTCAGATCAATTCACTGCGCTCAAAACATAACACTTAAGTATGTTTCTGCCTCAAACACTTTGTTGAACTATTTAGCAATCGGAGAGCCGCAGGTGGACGTTTAATTCTTGATACTGATTTGGCCATCGACGTCCTGATTTTAGTGTGTAAGGGGTGGATTAATTTACTGCACACGCGTCCGTAAGTATTGACTTGGGAGGAACTTAGGTCTTGGGAACAAATGCATTGTTTTCTTTCTGATCCGAACTAAGACTGCGTTTCCAGGTATAATGAACAAAAACCGTTCTTGCCAACGAACAGGGTGAGGGTGGCACTGGCTAAACCCTGGGGAGACCGCCTGCCCGGGGCCACACCTCCCCGGCTGTCCTGTCTTGACCATAGTCACGGAGCCCTGTCCCCTCAGCCCGCCTGTGGAGGGAGGGGGGAGCACCTCTGTCACCTGCCTGCCCGCTGGTGCAGAGTAGAAACGATGGCATGTTCTGTGTAAAGTAAGCAGCAGTTTTGCTGAATCACTAAGCAGTTATGGGCAGAAGGCTCACCATCTCATCTCCAATAGCTGATCGTATAAAAGCCTGGACGGCCACATGTGGGATCCTGATTAATAATTAACCAAGGGTGGGAAGGCATCCTTTTCTTTCCTGGATCAGTACTTAGCTATCCTTGTGGGCAGTTCCCTGCCAGCGTTTCTAGTTATGCTCAGATGCCTAAATACTGTGAACGTGGCAGAGAGAGGCCCAGTAAACACTTTTGTTATCTTTTTCCAGGTTAACTTCAAATACACCCAATTACAAACCCATCCAGACAGGCTAGGATCCTGGCAACTTCATGGTTTCTGAAACATTGACATTTCAAGTGTCCCGCCAGCATCAGCGAGAGAAAAGAAAGATATGATATGCCCTGAATCTTTCACAGGCTCTGACTTGGCTCTCACAACCCTGTGAGGTGAGTATTGTCACCTTTCACATTTAGAGCTGTGAGCAGTGCACGTGGCTCAAAGTGACCACTCCTGAGGGTAGTGGAGCCCTGGTTCCGCTGCACTGAGTTCTCTCTGGCTGGAAGAAATTTCAGTAGAATTGCAGTTTTCAAAGACAGGACACTTAGAGGATTTTAGCTTTTCCTCCCCTGACATATGGGGTAGCCGGAGGGAAAAGTAGACTCTGCAGCTGAAGGTGCATTTCCATGCTGCCACTCCCTGCTGACCCATCTCGGGAAAATCACTGTGCCTCACGGGCTCTCAGTCCCCTACTAGGAGCTTTGCTGATCATAACACTCAAATGGCTGCGTGATAGTTCAGAGACTGACACCTGCTGTGTGCTGGATATCCAGGTACAGCTGGCAGGGATGTGCACAGCATTGTCTACACATCTCCTTAGAAAATGCCCAACCAAAGGCCAGTTACCTTTTGCTCCTTGGGCTTTGGAAAGGAATCAGGGAGGGCAAGGGTATTTTGATGTTTTTCAAGTCACAGAAGTGTTTTATTTTAAAAAGGAAAGCAGGCACGCAAACCTAGTCCTCCGTGTTCTGGAAGGTGGGAGGCATGGGGCGGGGTCAGAGGGGCGGCTCCCGGTTGCCCAGCAGCAGAGGCGGCCTGGGGGAGGGGCTGGGAGTGTTTGTCGGTCTCCGCAGCAACTCAGCCCCGCGGGCAGCTGGCGGGAAGGCGGCGATGGCCGAGGCCCTGGAGCCTGAGTGTGAGTAGGCATGGGGCGCCTTGTGTGCGGTGTTCACTGTTTGTCTGATGTCTGATTGCCTAGGAGCCCAGCTCCTCTGAACCTGGTGTGAAAAATGACAACCTCTCTGGTGGCTGCAACTCAGCTCCCGATCACCAGGGGTGAGGACTGGCTTTGGGGACTGTAGCCTTCTCAGAAAATCGAGTAATAACACAGAAATAAAGAGGTTGTGTGTGTGTGTGTGCGTGTGCACGTGTGTGTGTGTCCTCTGGGAGGAGCAGGGATGGAGGGGGGAGATTTCTAGATGCTGTTTGTGTGTATGTGTTCTTTTTTTTTAACGCATTTCGGGACATTTTCTTGGGCACGTGGCCCTTCTGCAGCCCCCGCCAAACACCCAGGAGCACAGGACAGCCACACCAGCGCGCACGACGCGCTTCCCCACCGCGCGTTAGTGTCCCGTCTCCGGGGGCGGGGTTACTGCTGTGAGTTTACACCTGGGAGGCGGGGTTTCACCCCAGGGTTTTGGCTCTGGAGCCGTTGCTTTCTCACCCACAGCGAGCACGAAAATGCCTGATGATTCCGACGAATTTAGGACAGAGAGAAAGCCTGTTCTATTGAGCAAAACAGTCAGAATTGTAAAGTGTTTTAACAGGATGTTCCTACCTCCGAGCGCATTTGGACCGTGGTCGGCGCACGGGTGGGCGGGCAGCAGCGGGCCGGGGCCCGGGGCCGGCCTTCCAGCAGGCCGGGCGCACCTGGCCTCACCGTCTGGGCCTCAGTTTCCACTTTTGTGAAATGAGGCGGGTAAGAGCGCCTACCTCCCGGGGCCGCGGTGACGACTAAACGAGTTCGTACCCGCAAAGCTGTTCGAATACTGCGCGCAAGTACTCTTCATATTTTTTTTCGTGGGGGAGGGGTGATGGGGTTTGGTATTTATTTGTTTTTGGAGGAGGTCCTGGGGGTGGAGCCAGGCCCTCAGGCACGCTCAGCACGCGCTCTGCGCTCTGCCGCTGCGCTGACCCCTCCGCATAGCGCATTGCG